TTGTGAAGGCCAATACATCGGTTTTTGCAGGCTTTCTGCGTACTACCAAGCGTTGGAAGGGTCTCCGCCACGTGTGGAATAAAAGGCAAAGGGGTAAATAGGGATTTTTTTTTTTTTAAAATGGCAGAACAAAAAGTGAGGAGCAGGAACTAACCATGACGGTGTATAAAAATTCTAACAAATATTAATTATTGGTGGTGGTATGGCTCTTATAAGAAATTTTAACTCAAATATTTGTAAATAAACACGATAATAATTTTGCAAATTTAAATATGTGTAAAGGAACATAGCAAAGATTTTGTATTTATACGTATATATACAAATTTTTCATATGTACATAAATTCGTCTTGTATCGGATGATTCTATTATACTTACTGCAGTTGCTAGTTTTTCTAAACAAAACTTATTATATGTGTAATAAGTTTAATATATATAATACCATATACAACATTATATACAATTGCTCCGAACAGACGGAGATCCTGATAACGAAGAAAGAGCATTAACCCTACATACATTTTAGTGCATTCATTGGTTAACGTGCCTTAGGGCATGATTGCGTCATCATCCCGGTACGCACCGCTATTTATTTTCACTTAAAAGTTTATCTATACATTTCTGTTATTGGGCGCACCATAAAAAGAGCATTGTGTTTACAAATGCATGTGCCTTAGCTCTCTAGAAGCATTCGAATGTGCTGCCCCATGAAACCGAGTAACTGTGATAGATCCTCCTCGTATATGTGTAAATAAATTGTTTCACTCAGTGGCTGTTTTATGGCATTCATTTGGAAGTCATCACTACAGCGTGCTAATTCTAAAGTAATAATAATAACAACAACAAAATTAGTAATGAAAAAATAATATTGAGAAAATAATATTTCTATTATAGAGTGAAATAATATTAATAATAGTGGTAGCAAAACAACAGTAATAAAAGTTGAAGATAATTACAATTATCACAAAGCATAAATGTGAAATGGTATTAACAAAATAAACGGTATTCACGAAGGCATTATGATTATAACTATAAAAATAGTCCACTAAAATCCCGCATTTTTGCAAATCTTTGAAAGTGCACTCGCAGGTATTTTTTTTTTTTTTTCAAATAGAATGTGGAGCCCGTGGAAGTCTGAGTCAGTCCACGGCGAACTCTGTCTGAAGTTTATAGTTTATAAATGCCCTAAGTTTTTTAAGATAAATATTAATCGAACCGAGTTAAATTAAAATTGGGATGAATTGCTCGTACCTCAAAAAACACAAAATTCCTGAAATACGCGCTTTCATTCAATTAGGCTTTATCAGGACAGTCTTTCTTGAATTGGTTATTTTTACTTTGTATTAGCGATCCTTCACACCATGCGCACCACTCTTCCAGAAGATTTCTTTACCTGTTCTTCATTAGAGCAGCTATAATCAGCATTATTTTTTTAGCAGTTATAATTCTTTTACACGCAATATGAGCTGGCCACCAGCAATGCTAATGCCCGGTTCCAGTTGCGAGGATAACATGCAGACCACACAGGAAATCACAAAGAAATTTTTCGAAATTCTCCGCTCCACTGACCATTTTGTTGTCACAGCCAGTATTTTTCATCCAGTTGCGTCACTGAACATATCCATACGTCACTGCTTTCAAAACTGTACACTGCTTCAACGTTCTCATCTTCTTGCCAATCACCACTTCAGGTGCCTCACTATGAATTATGGAGCAGAAATTCTTACTTTTTATTTTACACTTTACGCGTAGCTTTTATTTTACACCTTCCGCTCGATTACGTTTTGAAGTGAGGAAGAACATGGACCGAAAATATGCACACACATTCATATGTAGATACACGCAAGAGAAATCTTCATCTTGACGCCACAGTTTCGCTCCCCTCCACTGCTTACTGCTCCTCTAGTTGCTTTCTGCTTCTCTAAATGTTATGTAGCCATATCCGGACACTTATCCAAAAATACTTTTCTGACTTAGTCTTTTATTACAAATATATATTTTTGACTATATACCCACATATAAAATCAAAAAATCCCTCCGCAATCGCTGTCAGAGAGAGGCGGAGGCACTAGAGAAGTAGTCTAAGCGGTAGCGAACGCCACCAACAACTCACTGATACGGTAGTCGATGCTTTCCTCTTTTGCGATGTGTTTACAAACAAGCCTACTTTTGACTTTAATGCATGCATACATATATATGTGTTTTATATATATATGTATTTATATATATATTTTAATACTTTAATTATGAAAGACAAAAGATAAACAAAACAATCCGTCCAAGATCATCACT